TAACCTCAAGTCACTCCGCAGGCACATTTTGATGCAGACCAGTTTGTCAAGACAAAAAAGGGCAAGACTAGGCTGAGAGCAGAGGCTATACCCACCATCTTCGTGCATCGCCCTGTGGTCAAAAAGAGAAGGGCCCCTGCACCACGATTCACCCCGGGACCTGTATCTACAAAGCCCATAGCACATGATCACAGCTATAGTGTGAAAGGTGACACAGGTATAATAAGTATGAACTCTTAGTAACAAAAGTAATATTTCTTATTTTTAAGTGGTATAATATTTTAAATGTTCGAACATTTACAGTGCCATGTCTTCTACTTACATTAGTTTCAAAGATTGAGGGAAGAAGGGATGAGGAGACTGAGAGAAAAGAAAGTGAGGGTGAAGAAAGAGAGGACATGGCTAGTGAGGAGAGACAGGGAGGGCGGACACCACCCACTCAGCCAGCAGCCAGTCAGCATACGAGGGAACCAGCAGCCAGTCAGCATACGAGGGAACCAGCAGCCATTCAAACAGATCTATTACAACAATTAAAGAGAAAATTAAAGAGCCAAGAAGGAATCACCAAAAAAGCAAAGGCTGCACAATGAAAAATCAGGAAGGAAAATGCAGCTCTCAAGAAAACAATGAAAATTAGGGACAAGAAATATAAGAAAACGTTTTCAAAAGACCAACTGAAGGCATTAGGCAGACTCACCACAAAGGGGATGAAATGGAGCAATGAGACAATTAAGAAGGCTTTAAAAATTTGCTTTGCGAGCGGACCAACGGGTTACAAAACTCTGCAGGAATTGAAGATTCCCCTTCCAGGAATAAGGACACTGCAAAGAAGGATGCAATGTGTTAAGTTTGAGCCTGGTGTGTTGACAGAGGTCTTTGATTTCCTAAAATTGAAGGCAGATACATTGACAGACCTTGAAAGGGAGTGTGTGTTGACCTTGGATGAAATGGCAATCACACCAAGTGTGGAGTTAGACATGATTACAGGCAAACTGTACGGTGATGTGACTTTACCAGGTCACACAGGGGTGGCAACACATGCTTGTGTGTTTATGTTGGCTGGAAACACAACACGGTGGAAGCAAGTAGTGGCATATCATTACACTGGCAATTCTACCAATGGAGCAGAGTACAGGCCAATCATTATTGAGATAATACAGAGGGCAGCATCCATAGGGCTACATGTGCTTGATGTCACCACCGACATGGGTAGCCCTAACCGAGCCATGTGGAAATCCTTTGGGGTGGACCAAAATAAAACATCGGTGCCACATCCAGCAAAACCAGACAGGCAGCTCTATTTCATGCCCGATGTCCCACATCTGGTAAAAAATTTAAAAAGTGCCCTTGTCCGTGGGCAGGTCTTCATAATTCCTGAGGATGTTGTTAACAGAGAGAACCTCCCCTCTAACGAGGTTTCTGTGGTCCCCATTAAGGACTTATTGACCTTTCAGGAAGGGATGGCCTTAAAAATAGCTCCCCATCTTTCAGCTGCAGCCATCGAGCCAAGTCACTTTGATAAGATGAAGGTTGGTCTTGCTCTAAATGTGTTCAGTAAGGCTACAAGTGCTGGGCTGAAATACATGGTGCAGCAAGAAAACCGCCCTCTGTCATACCTGACGACAGCGTGGTTCCTGGAGCAGGTTGATCGTTGGTTTGATCTGATGTCATCTCGCCATCCAATTACAGCCCTGAGCAGGCTCAAGATGGAGGAGTACCAAAAGGCCATCACCTTCCTCCAGAACATCGTCCATCTGTTTCGTGGGATAAAGATAGGTCAAAAGGGAGGTTGGAAGCCTGTTCAAACAGGGGTGATAATGGCAACAACATCAATTTTGGCCATACAAGAGGAGATGCTTACACAAGGACACAGGTTTGTGTTAACGTCAAGGTTCACACAAGACTGCCTTGAAAATACATTCAGCTGTGTGAGGTCTAAAAATCCTGTCCCAACTCCAGTGGAATTCCATCATGCACTGAGAATCATATCTGTGGGGCAGTTCCTCACCACCATCAGCTCTGGGAGCTACCAGGAAGACCACAGTAGCTTTTTGGCAGACTTCCTGGACACAGGGGAGCCAAAAATCACTCCATCAGTCAGAGTGGAACAGCTGATGGCGGTGAACAGAGCAGCAGCACCTGACCTCACAAAAACTGAGAAATGTATTCTCTTCCATCTTGCAGGCTACATCGTCCACAAAATCATCAAGTTTGCCAGCATCTGTGAAAAATGCAAAATTGCAACAGAGCACCATGATGAGAGTCCTTCTGGTGACAACAGCTTGTTAGTGGACTTGAAAGACTTCAAGGCAGGTGCTCTTTGTCGTCCCTCCCAAGAAGCCTTTGACTTCATTCACCAAATTGAGGAACTATTTAGGACCAAGACTGGTTCCTCCCTCATGCAGCTCCCCAACGCAGTGGGTGTCTTGGAGAAAGAAGCTCAGGCCCTCTCCAGCAGGCTTCCGTCATGCTGTGGAGTACAACAACAACTCGTAAAAAGATTTATACGGCTGAGGCTGAGAATTGAGGCAAAACAAATCAGAAATGACAGAAAAAAAATAAAATTAAAAGATGGCCATTTTGGAAGCAAGAGCCAATCCAAAAAGGTGAAAAGGAACAACAGCAGCCAAGCTACCACATCCAGCAACCCCCAAACAGATCCACAGATCCACAGCTGCAATCATTTCCATTAGCCGTTGCAATGGAAATATTTGGACTAAACATTGCTCTTCCACCTGCCAGCACCCAGCTAACATCACTGCCCCTCCACCCGTAACATCACTGCCCCTCCACCCGTAACATCACTGCCCTCCACCTGCCAGCACCCAGCTAACATCACTGCCCCTCCACCCGTAACATCACTGCCCCTCCACCTGCCAACATCACTGCCCTCCACCTGCCAGCACCCAGCCAGAGGAGAGCAAACAACAAAAACAAGCAAGGTGTCCCGTCATGTACCTGGAAGTTTGGGTTGGCAAAATGGAGTAAGAGAGGGACTTGAAAAACCTTGGTGGCTCTCTACTCCTGTTGTTACAGTTGTCTTGGTTGCAGCTCTCACGTGTTTTTTTGTTGCCATTTCCACATCTTTAGAAAATATGAAATAAAAAATTGAAGTGAAATCAACCTCTTCTCTGGAGAACAAACTTTGATTTCTCTGTCTTGTGAGTTTGCAGTCTTGCTCCTCCACCCGTAACATCACTGCCCCTCCACCTGTAACATCACTGCCCCTCCACCTGCCATACAGTAGGTTACTAACAAGATTACTTATATAATACAGTGATAGAATACATGTTTAGTATGCTTACTTATATAAAACAGTAGTATTAAACTTACCTTGTGTTTTCACACTCACTTAAGTCCCTCTCCCTTTGCCATCAATCCAAAATCAGCTGAGCTGCAACATTATACAGGCAGGTAATAATCAACATAATCACAAGGACACAATATGGCTCTGCTAAAAACACTCACTCTTACACGCACCAAAGTTATATTTATCTAATATTTAACTCCCTCCACCCCCGCATACAATCCCGTTTAGAAGCCCCTCTTCTCTAATTCAACAACGTTGGACCAAATGACATTAAGAGAACGGAATTTACAATTAAAAGGTTGTTCAACGTCTGTTGCTAACTTGCTTCGGTATCCTAGCTTGATCTGTTATCTGTAAACGTTCCCTAAATCTACTGATTTAGGGATAATCCACTGACATCCTTTAATACACATGTTAATTTGAATCAGATGTACTGATAATATCCGCAATATAAATCTTTAAACTTGTGTATTAAAGGATGTCAGTGGATTATCCCTAAATCAGTAGATTTAGGGATAATCCACTGACATCCTTTAATACACATGTTCATTTGAATCAGATGTACTGATAATATCCGTATGGAAGCCCATTTCCGCCACTTGAAAAAAATAAAATCCCCATGAAAAGTCATAATTATGAGATAAAAAAGTCGAAATGATGAGATAAAAAGTCATAATAATGAGATAAAAAAGTCGAAATGATGAGATAAAAAGTCATAATAATGAGATAAAAAGTCATAATTATGAGATAAAAAAGTCGAAATTATGAGATAAAAAGTCATAATAATGAGATAAAAAGTCTTAATTATGAGATAAGAAAGTCGAAATAATGAGATAAAAAGTCATAATTATGAGATAAAAAGAGACACTTTGTCACAACAGACAAACTAGCAGCTCTTTGGCTCGAATTCTCCTATTTATCTTGATACGGAAATGGATTGTGAGTACATTGAGGACTACTTTAAACGTGGATTTACAACAGATGAAATACTTAATTTGCTTGCTGATTCACATGGAGTTGTACTAAGCAAACGCACCCTTGAAAGGATTTTAAGCAAGAAGCAGCTCTGGCGTCGAAAGAATAAAACCGATGTGGCTGAGGTGGCAACCTTCATTGAACAGCAACTGGAAACATCTGGTCAGTGTCATGGTTACAGATGGATGCACCAAAAATGTTGGTTACATGGAATTGTGACTGACAGAGAAACAGTGCGAATACTGCTACAGTTATTGGATGGTGAAGGTGTTGATCTGAGGTCAAGAAACAGACTGCGAAGGCGCATCTACCACAGCTGTGGTCCAAACTATGTATGGCACATTGATGGTTACGACAAGCTTAAGCCATTTGGAATTGCAATCAGTGGATGCATTGACGGGTTTTCCAGAAAGATGATATGGCTTGAAGCTTACAAAACAAACAAAGACCCGAAGATCATCGCTGGCTACTTTATTGATGCTGTTATCAATGCTGGTGGGTGCCCTGCCAGACTCAGACTTGATTTAGGAACAGAAAATGGCCATATGGCTGAAATGCAGCAGTTTTTGCATTTTTCTGAGAACCAAGCTGAAACAGACAATGTAACCTTTGGTCCAAGCACTGGAAACCAACGTATTGAACGATGGTGGCTGACCTTGCGAAGTGAGTGTGTCCAGTTTTGGATGGACCTTTTTGACAAACTGAGTGTAGATGGCTACTTCTCAGACAACTTCTTGGACAAGTCCTTGATCCAGTTCTGCTTTCTACAAATAATACAGGTACTTGTCACATTATGAAATAAATAAATGTTGAATGTGGTGAATATTTTTAAAGAGCCACAAATGACCATGTGTAAAATAGAAATTGCCTGTTTTCCGTGGAGAGAGTGAATAATAAGTTATTGTTTCTGGCTAACAAAAATATGTGGGTATTCAGAGTAGCTGTGTCAAATAAGTAGGGTTTATTTTCGGGTTTATCCACCACATTTTTATAGCTGTTAAGATATAACATTAGTTTCACTGCTGCAATTTACATTTTACAGTTATTAATATGATTGTGCCAACCTACCATAGTCCAACTAGAAGACACATCTCACAAATATAACAAACCATGGGTCAGGAGTATACTTGACTAAGGCAGTAATCACCACTGCCCAGTATTTTTATACATTCTATTTGACTGAATATTATTTGCCTCCTAGGAAGAACTTAATGAGGTTGTATTGACTTGGAACAATCACAGAGTCCGTCAAGTCCATAACTCACGATCACCCCATGGACGTCCCTCCATATTGCATGCAGTCCCTCATCTGTATGAAGGCAGAGATTGTTTGCACCACGTGGACCTGGAGAAAGTTCAAGTCTGCCTTGATGAGTGTGTGTTCAAGGACTTCCCATGTGATGAAGATGTGTTCCATATCTGTGTGGATCTAATGTCAGAGTATAATCTGAAATTAACAAATGATGTGTTTGAAACTGTTAACCTGTATATCACACTCAGACAACTGATGAACAATGAACTGGATCATTAACTTTCCTGGGGCAGTGTCACAATTTATATTTCAGAAATGTGTATTTGTTTCCTGTTTCATTCCAGGACAAATTGAAATATATATACTGATTGCAATTGTCAGAATTATGATATACTTTAACCTGTGATGAATGAAAATATAATTGTAGCTGTTTGAGACACGTCAAATATGTACCAAATATTCTCAGTACATATATTTGTATGTACACACAAACAAAGTCATGTGTTGCCCTTAGATTGACTATGTGTAAAAACAGGATACAAATGCAAAATACACACATGTATTAATATAATTATTTATTCAATTATTTAAACAGATAGCATACAAAATTGCTGTTTTCATTCATGCTCCATTTATCTGAATCCAACCAATCAGCTGGCAGACTTCAATAAACCTCTGAAATCAAAATTGCTGTTTTCATTTTGACTGCATTTTAATCTAACTTGCTACAGTATCAGCAGCCTTTAATCGTAATCCATCGATACGTTTATGAGTGGTTTAAATGCCAAACTGTCTTTTGGTAAATAACAAGAACAGCATCTGAATAGAATAGTGCTTAACAAAGGAATATATACATTGTTGTCTGAAATAACTGATTTAGACTCAGGTTATTAGTGAAGTCTAGCAATATAAACCATCAATCTTAAACTACTTCCTTAACTGAGGTATTCACAGAAAGTTATCTGCATTGAAACGTAAACATGTTCTTAAACTGAAAACAATGTTCAACAAAAGTGGCTAAAAGCAGTAAAGAAATATTGACAAGATGTTGATGCGGTGACACTCAGGAAGGTTAAACAAGCTGGATTACTTCCTTCACAATAATCTGGAAAACCTACAAATCCTAAACGTGAACCTCTGATTGCAGTCTAGTTGCTGTAAGCTGAAATCTTTGTATCTTAGACAATATCCATTACCCACACGTTGCTATCTAAGACTTTGTTCATTTCATGTCGAAAATCTGGGTATAGTGGTCGTAACTGACTGGCAACTCCAAGTAACAGCCACATGTATGAGCAACAGGTCTTCTTTGAAATCCCTGAAGTTGTGTGAAGCTGACAGTGATGCTCTTTCCTGTGAACAAATCTGATCTTGTGCAAAATCTGAGGAAAAGGGAGAGGTGCTGGGTGTCTGACTCTCTAAGATATGCACTAACATACTTGACCATTTGTTTCTCCTGGGCATTCTGTGTACTGGGGTAAGTCATTGATCTCATGATCTTTCTTGATGTTGGTTGTAGCTCTTCATAGACTGCTGCAATCCCTTTCAGCTCTGATCTAAGAGGTGCAAGTGTGTTGTTCCACTGTTCAATCACAAAAGCAGGCTCTTGAATCAGTTTTTGGTGAGCAATCTCCTTCAAGATTTGCTCAAAGTTATCTGCTGTTGGAAGCCGCCGGCAGTTGTGGATATCCATGATTTCAAACAATTCTTCTTGGTCCACACCTTCAAAATCTGAACGACAAGATTCAAAGATCACCCGCTCAGACTCTGACACATACTTGAGAAAGCTGTCCACAAGATCACTCTCAACAAAGCCCAAAACAGCTTGCTCCAGAAGTACAGGTGAAAGTTTAACAGGAAGGTACTTCTCTTTTTGCCAGCCAAATGTGATTATTCGGCCTACACTTTCCCATTCTTGTTTACCAAAATCATGACGCAGGTATGGCACTTTGAAGCCATTTCCCATAGTGCACTGCTCATAAAAGTCATTCCAAAATTCGGACAGTATATCCCTCATAACACCTCCATCATCCACAGCATTTTCAAGCTTTCCATCGGGAAGAATAACTTGGAAGTGAAAGTCATTCTCCATGATATTTTCCTCAGAAAACACTAGAATAAGTTCTCTGAGAATCTGTCCACGATGAAGAACAATAATTTTCTTCACTCTTTCTCTCTGATTGGCTTGTTCCTGAAACATATCCATTGAAGGAGGCATGGATGATTCAATAGACAGTTCCGTAGAGAGAGGCAATGTATCATCAAGACTGGAGTACTCCATCAGAGAGATGCTGTCTGTGCGGAAAGTTACAATGCCACTATCATCTAAAGCACCGACATGAAACAGTGTTTCATGTTCTTGCAAACTGGATGCATCAGTTGGGTTGACTGTGGTGTAAAGAAGGGAAACACTATCACTGTTTTCATTTGCAAAAACTGTGCTGCTTCCAACAAAAATGACATCTGAAGTCCTTATCTCCACCGGATCTCTTACAGATGTGTCTGTAGAGAGGTGATAGATATCAGGTCTGGCATGTGTGTTTTCACCTTCTTGAGCAGTTGCATCACTATTGTTTTCCACCAGATTTATGTCACTGGCAATGTCTCTCTTCTTGGTTGTTAAATAGAAACGTAAGAGAGGTAATTTTGTCTTTTCATACAGTTCCTTGACTGTGATACTATCCTCTAATGAATGCCGCTGAAAGTCCGTTAAATCAATGTCAAAATCAGTAAGGCTCCCCTCTGCATTTTTTCCATCTGGAAAAAACAACTGCACAGCCTTTTCAATTAGGTTCTGTTTTGTACTGTCCTTCATGACACTCTCTTTTCTGGTCCCCCCACCCTTTTTGGTGCGTACCTGCACAAATTCCCCTTCTCTGAAATGCACCCATCCAATTTCAATCTTTCTTTGATTCTTCTGAGCATTCTTTGGAGCGGTTTGATGGTCTGTCTCATGATCACCTTTGTTTCTTGAGAGCTTTCCTCTAAGTCGCTCAAAGAGCTTTGACTTGCGACTCGTGGGTTCTTTTTCCTTCCGTCTACAGTATCCAAAAACAGCCAGTCGATCACCATAGGATGGCAGATACTCTCTCAGCTGGTCATCTGTCATGAGAGTTATGACACTGGAATCCATCTAAAATGAAGAAATATATCAAGAATTCTTAGGTCAAGTGAATTAAATTACAACAATGAAAAACCTGCATACACAGCACCAGGTATTATTTTCAAAGCTCTTCCAAACTTTGGGTTTTTTAATGTTTATTTGTGAATTGTCCAAATTAAGCATTTCCTGTATCAAATCAAATCAAATCAAGTGTCATTTATAGAGCAAATTTAAAAACGATTTTTGGTCGAGCCAAAGTACTGTACATGTAATAAAGACACTTTACTACAATAACAAGAAATGTTCAGAAATATAAAAACAAAATATATATAAACTACCTTCTCCTGTTCCATTCGCTGTATGTCTTCCTCAGGTACATGTTGTGACCTTAAATAGTCAGATAGCTCGTCCATCTTGTGACAGTTGAAAAAACCTCTCCACCTCTGTTGAATGAAATGAAAGCTTAAATGTAACCTTAAATACATTTGATTTTTAAAGTTGATTTTTACAAAATCGTTTTTGTTTGTCGTTTTGGTATTCAAGCATCTTCTCATTAAAGGTAGGTTGTGTACGTTTGAGAAACCTGCTCGAGATCGCTAGAATTTGAAAATACACAACCGGAGAAAATCTGCCACTTCCTTATAGATCCCCTCCTCCAACACACACGAACGCGCACATGACCAATGAGGACACGAGATAAGTTTGTGCACAGATGGAAGGCTGACAGGCAGGTCGGCCATCCAGTTATGTTAGCCGGGCCGGCTAAAATGATTGGTCGTGCTTTTTACAGCGCCACGACTTCCACTGATACATTTTTTTAATGGATTTATTGTCAAAGCACTTAAGATATTCATTGCTATCGGGATGTTAAGAGCATTCCATGGACTATAACAAAAAGCGTATCTCGAGCCGGTTTCTCAAACTTACCTACCCTACCTTTAAATGTCATGTTTAAATAAGACTATTGTAGTGCCAGGAAAAGTGAGTCGGAGGCGGTGTATTAAGAACAGAGTTCCAATCTTTATTAGCCATTAATAACAGAGAGGTTATCGCATGAACTGCTCTGCTTGACGAGCTAGCAGGAATGGAAGCTAACACTACAGGTGTTCCCACTAAAGGGTCCGTGTGGCAACACAATACGAGAGGTGAATTATGTCCAATAACGTGTCACCACACTATAAACTATACTCCAAATTCTCCAACTAAGGAGGAAGGGGAGCATTATTTCATTTTATTAGATTTTATTGATCTTGTAATACTTAAAATAGGACTCTTGGTTATGTGTGTGTGTGTGTGTGTGTGTGTGTGTGTGTGTGTGTGTGTGTGTGTGTGTGTGTGTGTGTGTGGTGTGTGTGTGTGTGTGTGTGTGTGGTGTGTGGTGTGTGTGTGTGTGTGTGTGTGTGTGTGGTGTGTGTGTGTGTGTGTGTGTGTGTGTGTGTGTGTGTGTGTGTGTGTGTGTGTGTGTGTGTGTGTGTGTGTGTGTGTGTGTGTGTGTGTGTGTGTGTGTGTGTGTGTGTGTGTGTGTGTGTGTGTGTGTGCATGGTGCGAGAGGAGCGAGCGTTTTTATGTTTCTGGAAGTAAAACGAAGCAGCAGAAAATATAGGTCTGTGAAGTATTTTGTGTAACAAGAAGAACTAAACAAATGCAACGGCCTCTCTCCAGTCATTTCGATATTATTGAACCTGAAGCTTGTTGCTTCGGCCCTGGGAGACCACAGAGTAATCCCCTGTTTCCTCGACTACGGTCTGGGAGCCGACAGGAAAGTTCAACACATGCATAATGAATGCTATCCATGCTATCTGACTGTACCACTTCGGTTTGGTGATGTTACTGAATAATCGCTATGGCATTAGCATTTCCCCCAGAATAGCAAACTGAAAAGCGATAAAGAACGACAGTGCAATGTACAATTAACGCATGACTTTTTAACCACTGCGTTACATGTACTGTAGGCTACTATAATTAGTGGTGTATGTACCGTAGCTGAGATAACATTTACGGGTTAGTTAGGCTAGCAGCAGCAGTATGCCTACACTATTGTCATTAGTGGCGTGAACGTTACCACAAAACTATAGGCATAGGTGTAGTGCCGTGAAAAGAGAGTCGGAGGCGGTGTATTAAGAATGGAGTTCCAATCTTTATTATCCATTACTTTCAGAGAGGTTAACACATGCACTGCTCTGCCTGATGAGCTAGCAGGAATGGCAGCTAAAGCTACCGGTGTTGCCCACTAAAGGGTCCGTGTGGCAACACAATAAGCAAGGTGAATTATGTCCAATAACGTGTCACCACACAAGCCCCCCCAGAATTCACACATAAACAAAATCAGCATGGCGGGGAGGAACGACACGCCGACCCCCACGACTCCTGAGCACGGGAGTCGGAAAAGTGACTCCCGCCTGTGCGGCCCCCGGAAGGGGAGGGACCGGAACAACAGGTCTTAAATCCGTGACAGGGGACGAGGCCGGGGGGCGGCCCCGTCGCGGAGGTCGAGCCAGCACCACAGGCTGGTCCAAGTCCAGGTGAGCAGCCTTCACCCGGTCCACCGAGACGTGCTCGGCCTTGCCACCCAGGTCGACCACCAGGTGCTTGTCCCCGTGCTCCAAGACCCGGAAAGGCCCATCATAAGGGGGCTGCAGGGGGCCTCTGTGTGCATCGTGCCGGATGAACACGTGCTCCGCCGAGCGGAGCTCTGCAGGAACCTGGGACACCTGAGTACCGTGCTGAGTAGTAGGGATCGGAACAAAGGCCTCAGCGGCGTCACGCAGGAAAGCCCGCTGGGCCGACGCCGACCAGGGAGCCGATGCATTTGGGAGGAAATCCCCCGGAACTCTCAGCGGCTGACCGTAGACCATCTCCGCTGTAGAACACTGCAGATCTTCCTTAGGTGCGGTCCTCAGGCCCAGCATCACCCAGGGCAGCTTGTCGACCCAGTTACCGTCCGTAAGGCCGGCCTTGAGGGCCGCCTTCATGGAGCGATGAAAGCGCTCGCAGAAACCGTTAGCCTGAGGGTGGTAAGCGGTAGTCCTGTGCAGCTTAACCCCCAAACCGCCTGCCACAGCGTTCCAGAGCTCGGACGTGAACTGAGAGCCCCTGTCTGAGGAAATGTCTGACGGGGTGCCAAAACGACACACCCACGTTGCAATGAAGGCCCGGGCAACGTCTGCGGCTGATGTCGAAACGAGCGGAACCGCCTCCGGCCAACGGGTCGTCCTGTCCACCATGGTGAGGAGGTAGGAAAACCCCTGAGAGGAAGGCAACGGACCAACCAGGTCAATGTTGACGTGATCAAACCTCCTCTCAGGCACCAGGAAACGCTCCAACGGGGCCTTCGTATGGCGGTGCACCTTAGCGCGTTGACAAGCCACGCACTCCCTGGCCCAAGTCCTCACGTCCCTTTTCAGTCCTTGCCAAACGAACTTCGCCGCTACCAAACGGACCGAAGGTTTAACGCCGGGGTGTGACAGGCCGTGCACAGCCTCGAACACAGGACGCCTCCAGCTGGCAGGGACGACAGGCCGCGCCAGGCCCGTAGAGACGTCACACAGGAGAGTAATGCCCGCGTCGCCGAACACCACGTCCTCCAAGCGCAGCCCCGCGCTCTCCACCTTCAGGGCCTGGACGCCGGGATCTGTGACCTGGTCTGCCGCCATGCGAGTATAGTCCAGGCCCAACTGGACGGCACCGATGACGACCCTGGAGAGGCAATCAGCAACCAGGTTCGACTTGCCAGCCACGTGCTTAATGTCCGTAGTGAACTCCGATATGTAGGACAGCTGCCGCTGCTGACGTGCCGACCAAGGCTCCGCCACTTTTGACATGGCAAAGGTGAGCGGCTTGTGGTCGACAAACGCCGTAAATTCACGGCCTTCCAGCATGAAACGGAAGTGCCGCACGGCCAAATAAAGTCCGAGGAGCTCCCGGTCAAAGGCGCTGTATTTGCGTTCTCTAGGCGTCAGCTGGCGGCTGAAAAAGGCGAGCGGCTGCCAAGCGCCCTCCACCCACTGCTCGTGCACTGCGCCGACCGCGTAGTCTGACGCGTCCGTGGTGATGGAGATGGGAGCCGTAGATGATGGGTGTGCCAGCAAAGCCGCCTGAGCCAACGCGGTCTTGACCTCAGCAAAAGCGCCGTCCGCCTCTGCTGTCCAGTCGATCTCCTGGACGGGGGTCTTGCCTTTCAACGCTTCATACAGCGGCCGCATGATGTGTGCGGCCCGGGCGATGAAACGGTGGTAGAAAGTCACCATCCCCAGAAACTCACGGAGCGACCGGGCTGTGAGCGGGCGAGGAAACGCCGCAACAGCCTCCACCTTCGCTGGCAGAGGTGTCGCACCGCCCTTGGTGACGCGGTGCCCCAGGAAATCGATGTCCGACACCCCGAACTGGCACTTTGCAGGATTGATGATTAATCCGTGTTCGTTGAGCCGTGTGAAAAGGGCTCGGAGGTGGGACAGGTGCTCCTGCACTGAAGCGCTGGCGACGAGTATGTCGTCGAGGTAAACAAACACAAACGGCAGGTCCCGCAGCACCGAATCCATCAGGCGCTGGAACGTCTGAGCGGCATTCTTGAGTCCAAAAGGCATCCGCAGGAACTCAAAAAGTCCAAAAGGCGTTATCACTGCTGTCTTGGGAATGTCCAGGGGGTGCATGGGCACCTGGTGGTATCCACGCACCAGGTCCACCTTGGAAAACACCCCCGTACCGGCCAGATGCGCCGAAAAGTCCTGAATGTGCGGCACCGGATAGCGGTCAGGCGTAGTGGCGTCGTTGAGTCGGCCGTAATCCCCGCACGGGCGGAACCCGCCGTTCGATTTGGGAACGACGTGCAGGGGGGAAGCCCAAGGACTGTCGGAGCGGCGGACAATGCCCAGGCGCTCCATGGTTGCGAACTCCGCCCTCGCTACAGCCAGCTTAGAAGGGTTCAACCGCCGGGCCCTGGCGTAGATAGGAGGCCCCCCGGTAGTGACGTGGTGTTCCACGCCATGCTTAGTGGTAAGCGCAGAGAAGGTGGGTAGCGACAGGTCTGGAAACTCGGCCAACAGTCTGAGAAACGTGTCTGCACCTGACAGCGAGCCTGACAGCCCGTCGTACGCTGCGCTGCCAAGTGTGCACACGAGGGAAGAAAACGTTAAGGCATCAACCAAACGCCTATTCTTAACGTCCACTAAGAGTCCATGAGCACACAAAAAATCCGCTCCGAGGAGGGGAAAAGAAATGTCCGCTGTCACAAAATCCCAGCTGAAACGCTGTCCTCCGATGCACAAACACATAGGCCTCACGCCGTACGTGCGAATGGGACTGCCGTTAGCCGTCGTCAATCGCGGTCCGTGCCCCCCACGGGCGACGTCTTCACTCGACGCTGGAACTACGCTCCGTTGAGCGCCCGTGTCACACAGAAACAGGCTCCCCGAAACGCTGTCGCTGACG